AACAGGACAGGCCCCAAAACTGATCCCCGAGAACACCACATAGAAATGAACTGGAGTAGAATCCTTCAGAGGGCTGCTTCTAACAGCTGAATGAATACCAAAGCTCTTCATACAGGACAAAAGGATAGCCTGTGATTTTGATTTGTTTAAGTTGAGAACACTGACCATCCTAGAATACCTTTTTTTCAATGTTTTCAAATAATCACCCAAATCAGTGTAAGCCCACTGTTTCTAGTCTAACAAAGCATCATCTTTCAAATAGAGTTTGAGACATTTTAAACGTAGTATAATAAAGCCATCTGTAACACCACCTTCTGGTCTATACATGCATGCTCTGTGCACCATATTGATACTTAGGTTTTTGCTCTTACCCTAGGGTTGTCATGTGTCTCAGATAAAACAAATATAGCCCTCAAAGAGGAAATGACTCATTAAAAAAAAATCATTTAGAACAGTTGTTCAAGGACCTTTCTTCCCTTCTCGTCCTAGTAGAGAGGGAGTCTTCAGCACGTTTATAGCCTGATTATCTCAGGCTATACAGAATAAAATCCAGGTTTGCTTACCTTTCCTGGGTACTGGTGAAGTTTGAGATAAAAGTTCTTACTAAAGACAGCATAAAAACTACCAAGGATTACATAGTCAGAAAGTCACACAAATGTACTGAACATGGAACTTGGTCACTTCAGGCATTTTCAACAAATGGGAAAGGAAAGGGAAGTGCCTTTTAAGACTCCCTTACCTAGGCGGATGTTAATAATGAAGCCTGATTTGCTTGAGTACCCTCTCCACAAAGCTAGGCATGTTCCGTCTTCCCTGCACCTTCCTGTGAAGCCATCCTCCTCGGCAGGCCCTTAGAAAGGACATCTGGGAAACTTTGTAATAAAACATCTCAGGTAGTTCTAATTTATCCCACTCACAGAGCCTTGGAGATGAGTTCTGTACCTCGTAGAGTCAACATAAGTGTTCACTGAATTAATCAGATCCAAATAAAAGCATACATCTGACAAGAGATAAACTAAGCTCATTTTTCAGAAGAGATCCCCAACTTCAAGACAAACTGACCTTCTCTATGGTGTTGCAGATCTTTTGATAAGCACACTTCATCAACCTGTAACATATGTGCCTTGGCTTCTCCCCTCCCACTGTGCACCACTCAGCTCACCGTAATCGACACTTGTGGCTGGATGTGCGACTGATACAGTATCTGTTCACAGTGTAGAAATAATCGTGGTAGGGGACATCATGGGTCAGTACTTCAGCATCCACCTGGTAAGACTGACCTTTCTGGCTCTGCTTGTGCAGGATCTACCATAAAAGAAAAAATAAGGTATATTCATGGTACCCAATTTTTTTTTCTTTCAGCCTGAATTCCTTAGGCTAGATCAACCAACTCCAAGTGAACTAGAGTAGGGAGAAAGCTTGAACAACAACAAAAACCAGTTAAGAACGGCAAGTATAGATGGGGTGGGGAAAGAGAAGATGCCTCCTGCTAGAGCCAACATAGGCAGCAGCAGTACTTCCCCACTGCCATTTCAAGTACCAGATGCAAGGCTGGCCACCAACTCATGACCACAGCTCTTCTTTGAGACTAACCTATGAGACCTTTCCCAAAGCAGAATTACAGAATGGTTGAGATCGGAAGGCCCCTCTGGTGGTCATCTTGTCCAAGAACCCTGCTCAGGAAGGACCATGGCTGGTTGCCCAGGACCATGTTCAGATGGTTTTCCCATATCTCCAAGGAAGGAGATGCCATAAGCTCTATGGACAACCTGTTCCAGTGCTCCGTTACCGTCACATTAAAAAACTTTTTTATGATGTTCAGAGGGAACCACTTGTGTTTCAGTTTGGGCCCACTGCTACTGGTTCTGTCACTGGGACCACTGAGAGGTATGGCCTTTGGTGGTAAAGGTGGTGAAGGCCCAGCTTGGTCTTCTTTGCACCCTCCCTTCAGATACTCATACACATTGTAAGATCCCCTCCTGAGCCTTCTTTTCTCCAGGCTGGGCAGTCCCAGCTCTCAGCTGTTTCTCATATGAGATGCTCCAGTCCCTTAATCATCTTAGTGGCCCTTCACTGGACTCTTTCCATCTCTCTTGTACTGGGGAGCCCAGAAGTGGACACTGAAAGCACTTCATTGCATCTTTCTACCCCCCAACTCATAAAAGATGTTAACACGTTCCCCCACAGACTTTGTGGGAGAAGTTTACAATCATTTGTAAGGACAGAAAGCCTCTCCGATTTCATCAGCATTTGCTCACTAGTGGTGAGAGGAGCAGCAAGCTACCTTAGAGATTCACATTCAGCTCACTGAAATCTAATCCACTGTTAGATCTCTGACAGATCATAGAGTTGACCTCTCCCTTGCCTTAAAGGGCACCAGACACACACACACATGCACGCAGTACCTGCTTTTCAGTTGCAGTTGTGAACTTCCCACAAAGTGGATTGTTAATTGTTACAGTGTATGTCAAAGTCCTCAACTGATTGCCACTGGAATCTCTATTCCAAGGGGTCGATACAGCATCTAGATGAGAAATTATGCAAAATCTCACATGCAGATTACCTAAAAGGCATTATCCTTGCCCTTTCATATCTTAACAGTTTAAGAACAGTGGTGGGGAGAGAGACAGAAAACTGATTCCAGATCGTTGTGGTTTTTTGCAGGAAAAGGGAAAGTTGTAGTTCAATGATGAAGAAAGGTGAGGCACTAAAGTATCTCAACCTAAGTCTACTGGAAGAGACTTGAGGGTGGGGAGAAAAGTAAGCAATTAAATGAAAACATGTAATTTCCCATCTGTTTAAAGTCAAATAGATTCACTTATCATTATCAAAAGCTTTTGCCACTTGCCTTCCAAGCTGAAACTGAATAAATATTACCCTTTTTGACTTAATTTTCTGTTCTCATGATCTCAGTGAATAAAATTTACTCATCCAGAAAATTAAAGCCTGTGAGTATCGTTTAGCAGGATGCAATGGTTTTGCCGGTGTGCCAGCTGTACACATTTCACTATTTCTGGGACACAATGTAATCAGAAATACCCCACAGAATGCATCAACTTAATAGCCTAGCCGAAATTCAGGCATTAAGGTGCAGTTTTGTAGTGCACTGAAATGAGTTTTTTCTACTCCAAAATGCAACTGATCTACAGATCTACAGAAACAACACGCTAGCTTTAAATATCCTCTCTCATCGTGGAACTTTAAATCTTCAAAATTCTTTTATATCAAAGAGAAACTTATAATTCGACTTAGACCTATTTAACATTTCTCAGAGGTTGAAATTTTCAGGATAGCTTGCAACACAGACAGAAGGGAGAAGAGTGTGTTACCTACTATACTCCTGGAATTGAGAAACCTCTGCATGAAGTGAGAATTGGTGAAGAGGATTTCAAACATCTTGTCTGCAGTGATGTGGAAAACTCTGTTTATAACAAGCCTCCCATAGAGATCATTCTCAGACGCAGTCTCCTTCACTGCTAAGGAAAGGCAGAGAGATCAGGTTAAACAGTATTATGAAGCAACTTTATAATATAGTAAGCTTTATTACAGCTCACATCCTTCCCAAGCTTGCATCAGCATTTGTTTCTCACACTCAGAATACCAGGAATGATAGCAGCACACAATTTGGTAGGTAGGTTGCCTTCAGCAGCAAAATCCAGAGTTGATTTTCTGGCACACCCCACCACCCCCACCTTTTCCCTGTGCAAACATAAATAGTTAAATCAACATCACAAGGTCCCATCCCTTTAGTTTTGCTTTCAGTATTTTACTGATCCTACAGGAAAACACTGGGGAAGACAAAAAGTTAGCATAATCTTCATTAATATGTGTGCCTATTGTACAACGGACACATGCATAGCAAGCAGGACAATGAAAACATACTAGCTTTCTTCCTACTTGTGTCTAGTTTCAGAATTCTGCTTTTAACATGTGTAATGCCGGTAGTGTCTACAGTCTAAGAGACAGGTACGGACTCCCAAACAGTTCCTCAAACTGTTCCTCTCTCCATACTTATAAGAGGAATGCAAGAAGCACCCTGCTCCATTTTGCAGTCCTGAAAAGAGCACACCAAGATGCTTAATCGCTATCCCCTATTTCAAAACCACAACAAGCACCCCAGTGGTGTTCTGTGGCTGCAGCACTGATCTTTGCTATTTCTGCTTCTTGTTGGTTGCTGGCATGACTCAGCTTTGTGGTTGTCTCTTGCAAAAGATAAGGGAGAGAATTAAAATCCTGGAGGGCAAGCAGTTTCCTATGCCAACCTCAACTCAACCTGTTTATGCTTTAGAAACAAGTCCATCCTAAACTATAATTACAAAAAACCAAACACCCTCACACCCACCCCCCCTTCACTAAAATGAAACAAAAAGCTGAGAGCAAATCTTATAGAAGCAAGATAGAAGTCAGGATGCCTAACCTTTCAACTGATACAAATGAATGCTCAGAGCTAGCAAAGGTCAGTGCCAGCCACCAATGCAAAGGTAGCTTGAATATCAAGCTGTAGTTCACAAGCTGCCTACAGGCTAAGGTTACAGCACTTAAAACATTACTGCTTGGTAGCAGTCAGTATTGATAAATGCAAATGCAGCAACTAAACACCACAACAGTCCCCAACGAAGTCCAATTCTGACTCTGAGCAGAATTCTGCTCTAGTGCTGCTTCTAGCCTGCTAAAAGTCCCTGTTACATGCCTGCCTCCAAAAAACGTTCTCTTTGACTTAAACAGGCTTCAATGTAGGATGCCAAAAGTGAAGCAGGATGGCCATATTTTTGTGCTTGCATAAGAGATGGGCTTCCTTGCCATGCCATGTTCTGCTTATGCAATTTTAAGTCTATACAACTGCAAGGTGGGAGAGAAAGCAAGCACGCATTTAACCAGCCAATACACAGTCATTACTTGCTTGAATACAGATTCTGCTGTGCTGAAACATTTTGTAGGAAGACAAATTCAGCCTGGGTTTTCAGTTTACGTTCACAGTGAACTGTGAGTTTGACCTCAGCTAACAAGGTCTCAGCATTACAGACCTCTCCTTTCAGAGTGCACTCCCCACTTCCTCTCTTTCAATCTGAGACAGGAAGCTTCAGATATTAGTGGTGACATCCCCTCTGCCTACTGTGCATCAACTGACATGCATGGAGTCAGATACCAGGTAATTCAAGCCAGTTACTCTGGTTGAATCTTACTCAGCTGGACCTTGACATGCCCAAGGAATCTGCTACCACTTAAAAAAAAAAAGAAAACAACACAACATACAAAGGCCCTGACACATGATCAAGTCACCATGCATCAGATAGCTTTGACAGTTATTTGTCTATGTCTTAACAAATACAAGATAATACAAGTTACCTTTGCCCGAGTGAGGCTTAGACAAATGACACAACTTTATTTTCACCTGAAACACCAGAGGACAGCTACTAATGTTTCTGCTGATGTGAGGTAATTTGGTAAACCACAGCAATTTATGATATGCACAAAGCCCATGCATTATTACCTTAAGGCACAGACCTTGCTACTGTGATATTTACTCTTCAAGCATCAAGTCTGTCCTCCTTGTACTGAGTCTTCAGCAAGAGCACCCATTGGTCTATACAAAATTTCCAGTTAGCTTATTTAACTGCACTACTTCTATCTAGTCATGCCTCTAATAAGGAATAGTCAATGAAGCACCAAGTGCAAGAGAGCATTGACAAAAATGGTTTTACTTACAATCTCTCTCAGCTCTTGGAACAAACAAAATTTTAGAGAGTGGTGTTATTGCATAAAGCAGCATTTTCAGAAAATTCAAGCTGAAACTGGCTTGATATATCAGGCTCATCAGCCACTTCAGATGCTCTGATTCAAACAGCAGTTTTCCAGAAAGCTTGGAAATCTTTCAGATTATAGGTCTGGAAGGTGCAGGTATGAACACTGCTGTGAGTTCCCCATCTGTGGAAGCAAGCTGCTGCATAAACCAAGAGCTTAACAAGCTTCAAGTCACTTCCACCTGGGCTTCTCAGAGTTTATCTGTAGAAATCCTAGATGAAGCAGTGAGCAGAAACAGTAGCATAGCAAGGAATAAGTGTACAGTATACATGCCTGCAATCTGAACAGAATGGAAAACTTTAACCACTCATCTCTGCTAGAAATGAATATGCATGTTTGTCTACTGTTTTATTTTGTTTAACTCACACAGGTAAACCTACTTGCTTTTTATTTATGTCAGTACTAGAGCAAAACCCAGCATTCTATCTACCAAGGACTGGCTTAGAAATACTGTTTATAAACAAAGTGTTTTGAGCAGGTATCTAGATATCAATTGACTCCTTAACTTTTAATGCTGTTATGGAGTAAAATAACAGCCGTATGCAATTATCAACACTGTCTTAGCCTGAATACATTTATACATGAATTGGAGCTACTGTCTGATAAAAGAACATGAGATTATTCTGAGTTTAGATTAGGATCCCTAGGGACCCAAAAATCCAGAAGCAATCATATTACCCAGAGTGTCCTGCTTCAGCATGAAGACAGTAAGTCTGTTCCCTCCCCTGCTATTGCCTTGCACTTCATAAGGTCATTTTCATTACTGCAAGGCAAACTGTGAAATAATGTTTGAACATAATACCATTATGCAGCAGTGATTGCAGAGGTTTGAAAACATCTACAGTGCAAGAAAAGAAAGAGACAGAAAACTGGAGGGGGGGGAAGAGGGCAGCAAAAAAAATTGTTCCTAAAATTCCTGTTAACCACCAATACCTCGAAGCTAAACACACACCACAAGCAAATTAAGAAAGCTGAACCAATAAGAGCAGAGACTATCAAACAAATTAATAAGACAGCTGGTTTTTCAAGTTCAAGTAGGTCAGAGAGGATCAGGAGAAAAACAAAGTGTACATATCCAAATATCAGCACTGTTGAGGATTTCTATGTCACTGTGGATGGGGAAAAATTGCACACTGCCTGAAGAATACATGCAGGTAGGAGCCTTTAAGCAGATATACCTGAAATCAAATCAATAAAACCAATTCCTAGAGTGAACATGTTCCAGACACCATCTATTTAAAGACAGCATCAGCAATACAAACCATTATCAAAGAGCTCTCCTATACTTTAAAAGACTAAGTACAAAATTAACTTGCAGATGTACTAAGTACTGTGACAACGCTAGCTTTTTCCAGCTTACAAGAGAAAAAGTTATTCCTTTTGCCTTTAGATAACTCAAATATATATCCTCCAAACCCCCAAAGCAACAAATAATTGCTAGTTATATATTCAACAAAACACATGCTTTTGGTATTTTGATTAAAATGCCAACAAGATAACAGGGATACTCTTCCTTACATACATTGTATACCCAAAATTCCTTGGGGGGGGGGCAGGGAAACATGACACCAGGGCTGAACCAATTTCAGCCACCCTGTATTTCAAAACATTTTCTGCCCTATATATTCCTATCTGCAAGAAAAGTCAAGCCACCGCTGTACCCATCTCACAGCACTACAGTGCAGGCAGTTATGCTCTCCTGCAGACCACACATTTAAGGTGGTTATTAGTACAAACAGAAACAATACAGTAAGTCTATCAAGGAGGTCAGGGATTTATGATGTCCCCATATACAGTAAAATTTTGACAGAAAATACTGTTTCCAATTTCCTGCTTCCCCTTATTTATTTGGAGTATTTTATGCTGCTGAACATTGTCATTGCATATAGAAACCCTGCGGACAAAAGAGTCTTTTGAGAAAACTCAGAATCTCCTGACTCTATTTTGGAAATACATATTCTGTGCTTGAACCAAAATTTGTTTTCCAAAATACAGAATCAAGGCCGCAGATAATTAATTTTTATTTTATTAAAGTTTATCATGGCTGGAGATTTATACTCCAGTTTATGAAACCAAACAAAAGCACCAAGATGCAAGTCAATAGGCCAGTGGTGCACAGTGAGATGCACACCCCCCATCCCCCAATAAGCAACGTGAGAATTGCTTAGGGCAAGGGAACTATAGTTGTCAAGGCTCTGGCATTCCAGCTTTGGGTGTCAGCTGGACCCAGAGTTGGAGAACAACAATCTTGAGCTTGCCCCTCACCTTATTTACCAGGACACCTCCATGGGCAGCCTGTGTATGAGCCAGAGGACACAAGAGAGATTACTCGCATGGGTAAACCTTTGTCATGTGGGAAAGTTAGTTTCATTTGCATGAAGGAATTCACCTTGTAAGAGTATGGGGTAACTGCAATAGAAAACAGACAGAGAAACAGAAGAAAAAAAATCTAAGCATGAAGAAGGGATCTGAGAGAAAAGATTAATGTCATGGGACTAGAAAATCCTGCTCTGAATAAAACAGGACTAGTCTAGGACAAGAAATAAGAAAAGCAACATGAAGTCAGTTCTCTTTTAAAGAGACATCTCCATTTTAATATGCTCTATTTACTCAACATCACCAAGGCAGGGATGATGGGAGTATTTACTGCTATCATTTAGGCAAACAGCCACATGAAAGGCAACAGGACTATTTTCGATCAGTTTCACTGAAGACCTTTGCCATAAAAAATAAAATCCAGAGGCAGAAGAAAGATGGGGTACTAACAGGAAAGGAAAACCGCAAGATATCTAAAACATCCAAAGGCCAAAACTTTCTGCTGCTCTAAAATATACACCTGTGATGGAGTAAACTATTAACTTGTGAAGCTTGTTAAATGTATAGGAGTATGGCATAAACAGCAGTTTATTCAAGTAGGTATATTCACAGAAATGATACAACCTGACATACATTGAGTTGAATCTGAACTCAAGCAAACACAGAAGCAGTACGGGTGAGCAAAAGGAAAGTTAGTTGAATATAAAGTATACCCTCAGGCAACAATCACAACTTGCAGGCAGCCAATTCAATCCATGACTTTGAAAGCTTTCCTGGACACCTCAGTGATCCCAACATAATGACACCTGCAAGCAACTTCAGTTGCCAGCTCTGTTTGAAGGGATGAGAGGCAAAGTTTCTCAGCCAGATTAAGAACTGACCTCAATTAACTGAACTGTTCTATTCCCACCAACAGGTGACAAAAGTTATCTTGTTGCATATGAAAGAAATATTCAGCTACTACTGTTGAGCTTCATTTGCACACCACCATTGCACACCAACTTTGGAACAAATCCAGGTTGTGCACACCTTGTTTTAACGGCATTTACAGAGTCTGAGATTGGGATATTTAACAGAACATCCACCAAAACTTCAGTGAGCTGTCTGAACATACAACCCTTTGGCACAGGAAAGTTCCTCATGGTGAGTGAAAAGTTCACCTTAGTAGCCCCTGACAAGTTCTTGTTCTCTGTGGGACCACAGTACAAGCACCCACAGACCTCAGCACAAGTCTCACCATCATCCAGACTGGGCAGAAGGCACACTCTGGCCTTACTCTCTCCCCAGGATATAACAAAAATGCTCATACCAAAACCACTATGTGACATACATCTACACTTTCCACTCCTATGGCAAGAAGGGGAAAGGAAGCACATAACAGACAAGTTACAATCTCTACACTACTGTGGTATCCAAGTTTCTTCTCATCTTGTACTGGGTAATGACGTATGAATCATGAGGATGGTATATTAGGATCCATTAAGAAATTAACTCCGTTGGCACACAAAGTATAAGCTGCTCCAAGATGTACACATTAAGGTTTATAATCTTCAGACCAGATTCAGAATATGCACAATTTGCTTCTGAAAGCTGGGAAGTTGTCTTGCCTGGACTTTCAGCGAGCTCCTCAGTTTACTCCATCAATAACACTGTAATTCACATGCCTTAAAAAAGTAGAAGCCTAAAGAAGAGGGGTGGGAAGGGTGGAGGAACCTTTCAGAAACTGGCAAACAGTCTGAAATGCTTCCCCTCAGTTCCCATGAAGTGAAAACAAAAGGAAAGAAATATTTTAAATACCTACGAGAACATGGAAAGTGAACAAATACCATCAAGCTGTCAAGAAATATGTTTGGGGTTTTTTTTTTTTACTTTAAGCTGTTAGCAACTCTTTACCCACCAAAGAAGAAAAAGCAAAACCACAATTTGTCTTCATTCTAAACATCCCTAACAACTTTTTTTTTCTCCCCAGCAACTAAGATACAAAGATGTTTTTGCCACAATTCTGTGAAACAAAACAAGCAAGCAAGTTTCATAAGATCAGAAAGTTCTCTAACTTGCTCCACAAGTGAGATGGAACACCAGAGTCACGTTGTTAAGAGATTTACCTTCTTCACTATCTGAGGCACTGCTCTTCTCAGGAAGATTTTCATTCTCATTCAGGTCCAAGGACTTTTCTAAAGATCTGCTCCTGATTAACTTAACAGGTTTTCTTTCTGAAGATAGAAGAGGGCTCTTCTTCATTTGCTTCTCAGTTGGGGACTCCACCTGAAAGAACCAAGAGAAAACAAATGCATCAGTAATCACAGAGTATTTAAAAAAAATAAAAAAAAAAGAGAAAGTTACTTTCAAAGAAGAAAGCCATATAAAGGAAGCCACATATTCTATCTGCTCAATTACCACACAATCAAGCACTAATTTCTCCTTTGTTCTCACATACAACCTCCCTTCCTCTTTATTTCACACTTTCACTTTACCCTGGTAACAAGGGACAGTGTTACTCATCTGTACCTTCATACCTAGGGCTGCCTTTAAAAGGACAGTTTACTCCCCATCCAGGCCCCGTGCACCCACCAGCATGGTTTGGTCTCCCTCCTTGCATCAATGCTAGCATTTATAAAGTAATTAACCTAACACAGATTATATACTTTTTATTGATCAGGTTAGTTTTTTTCTGACAATTTAGCAAGTGGTCTAACAATCCTGAGAGGAAACACAATGAAATAGGCAGGGTCAGCTTTTTTCAGCAAGATTAGATAATCCCAATTATATATTTGAAAAGTGTTCTTATTTTGTAGGGCTCCATTACCCTTTGACAAAAAAAAAAGTTCTAAATCACTGTCTAGAGCCATTCTACCTATAAAATGTTACTTCTGAGGAACAAAGCAATGGAATACCATTTGCCATCTCCAATACACAAGCAGGACATCCCCCAAAATATCAGTCACTGAACCAATGACACAGCTCTTAACCCTAAACTATAATAACTGGTGGCTAAGCTTACATTGCCATTGTACACTTCAAGAAGCAACTTCTAGTGAAACTGAATGTCCAAGGTTTGTACATCTTAAAATGCCACTCAAAAAATCTTGGCTGCTAGCTATGAATCACAGTTTTCATTCTTAACCTCTCCTCAAAGCTACCATTGCTTCCAGTGGAACAGCTGGTACAGCCCCTCCACATGCAGTAGTATATGGACCATAATAAATAAGATCAGGCTTCCTCAACTGAGCAGTTCTGATTCATCTGCAATACTATCATCCCTAAAGATTATTCAGCACTGACTCAAAAAAGCAAAAGCACCACTACCTGAATAGTCATGTACTTCCTGTACTTCTTGGGTTTTTTTCAAAACAAAGACTATCTACTTTTTTGTTCAACTGAAGGCCATTAGAAGGTAGGTGGTTGGAAAACAGACAAGCATGAATCTGACTGCAGTATAAGCAGACAAAAATACTCCCTTCAAGGTCAAAAAAAAGGAAGACTGCATCAGAAAAGTGTATCAATTAACAAATGCTCCTATTGAAAGGAGCTACCATGCCTGAAGTAATACTCAGTCATACAACAGGAACTAGGACAGAATCAACATTTCCATGTCAAAAATATTCTACTAATACAGATGGAAGACAGAAAGGAGCTAGTTGTGGTTAAACAGTCTAAAAATTGACACAGACCCAGCACAAATCCAAGGAACTCATATACCATTTTGATGAAGATTAGGGATCTGGTGAACAGGTGGAACTTCCACCAGCAGTATAAGAACAGCCCCACTATTCCACGCACAGAGCAGGAAAGGCAAGCTCAGTTCAGAAGACTAGAGCAACAGCTCCTACAAAAAAGCCTTTCATGATGTCAGGGAAGAAGAAATCCATGCTGAGGCTTTTCTGATCAGCTCTAACACAGTTTTCTTATTTCTGTTTTTTTTGAGGATTTTTGTTTTGTTTTCCTACAGAGTAATGGTTTTAAGATTTGTCAGATGGAATTGTCAGAAAGATGTATACTTTCTTCCTTATGTACATTTATTCCTGAGCTAGTCCAGTACCACTAAGCTCTGTGCAAAGGCTCTTTGGTTTTTTAACCTGTGAACAGCAGGCTGTGGGACTGGAAGGCTCTAAGGTCTCCCTACGAGGGGCAGAGGGAAGAAGATGGTTGATTCAGAGAGGCAACAAGGTGGTTCCCACATTGTGAACAAACATGCCATGACTGGTGCTACACCCAGACTTTCTTTTATCAACTACGAACAGCTATCGACAACATGTTTTCCAAGACAGGCCAAGCACTGTGGCCAACACCTCCATCATTTCAGATCTCCCTCTGAAGAGAGCTTTCGGACTTTGCCTATCAGAACAGGAAAGAAGGGGTTAAGGCTGTTTCCCTCCAGTCTTTGAAAGGTGATTAAATGTGTTTTGTGTCAGTACCACCTTTTTTGACAAATACATTCTATGAGCTACTGCCTCCTCCTACTGTCCCTGTGCTTCTACAACATATGCTGTGATCCTGGTGTTGCAGAGAGCGTGTTGACATTCTTGAGAAGCACCAAATGACACCTACAGCTGAACACAAACATTATGTATTTTAGTTACGCTGAAACAGTAAGCTAAACAGTTTAGTTACACATTTATCAAGACTGCACTTTTACACAATAACTAAAGGACTTTTAAAATGCAGTTTATTCAAGGGAGAATCCTTGCATTTTTGCTTGGGTACAACACAAATCCCTAGGCATTACTGCTTACCAACATGCTCACTTAGATTTAGCACCCGCAAGAGACATCTCTGGGTGTGGCACCCACTAGGTAAACACACTTTTTTTCCAGGCAGAGCAATTATTTTTAAATGGCTTGTTCTTGTGCAAATAAGACTTACAAGTCCAAACCAAGGCTACCTGGGTAGATTTGCAGTTAACCTAAAAAACCGAAATTCCAGCAGCATCAACAGGCCTTCCTTACAGCTCTCTCAAAATCTTGTGTTATATTGCTAGGATTTCCATGAGGGATACCCATGTTCCAATTAACTAAGCTTTTAACACCTGACAAATACTAGTATCATTTGCTGGGTATGAGTTCTAGCCATTAACTTTGATTTTGGCAAAACCTGCCTGCTTAACCTGCAGATCAGTTTTGGAAAGCGACAAAAGCCAGAAGATTTATATGGTAGTAAAAACTATTACAAGCATCTCCTTTCTTCCCTCCCTAAATTTTCCAAAGCAGAAATAGCATTTAGGTACCCAACCTTAGGGAAGTTAACAAGAAATCCTTTAGTGCTTTGTTTGCTTCTCCAAGATCTTTCCCTTAGGGTATCTATTAATCAAGAGAAAATGTCTGCAACCTTTCAGGACTGCAACTACACACAGGAGTCCCAGCAACTGTGCTAGACACTATGCACACCTCAGATACCGCTACTAATGTGCTCACTCTCCCAATCAGCCAAATACATTCACAAATTCATACAATATCACGAGTGAAGCACCCGTGCTTGTTCAGTTATATTAACCCAAGGCATTAAGGGAAAACTCATCTTTACTATATCAAGTGTGGGGATTCCTACCCCCCCCCCTGCCCCCGTTCCTTCTGAAACATTTCCACAAATCTAAATAAAAAAAGCTTTCATATTCACAGCAGCAGACTGATTTTTGAAGGCAAGGATAACACAAGTACCCTTTAATAAACCTCATGAATAGGAGAGATAGAAGTGTAAGAGGATATTTTTTTAACGACAAACAGCACTAGCAAGAAAGCATTGTAAGTGAACAAAAGGCATAACTTTCAAAAAGCACTTGCATTAAAATTCCCATGGTCCCTGGGATGGTGAATAAAACATGGTTAATTTTGTTTTTACAGCTGGGAATACCAAGGCATAAGCCTTGTATTCCCAGCCAGGTTATGCAGTGAGTTAGTGACAGGACGTTGCTGAAACTCACACCAACAATATTCTCTTGTACAGCAGTTTGTTCATTTCCAAATTGAAGAGATATTATTGAAATCTGAAGATACTCATATTAAATTTCTGATGTGAAAGCCTTCTAGACTATAATGAATTCTCACAGGCTTCTTTTGAAATGACAATCCCCCTGCATTACAGATATATGCTTACAGATACATAAGTTAAGCAAATATCCTTATCAGTTACAAATAGTAAGAAAGGCTGTATCAGCACTTACTCCTGGCAACGCATGTCTATTGAGTAACTCTCCTTCTGTTTGAAGCATGGGTTCCTGAACTAAACCCATCATTTTAGGTAGTTTTTCATCCCTTTCTCCAGAATCATCACAAATGTTGGATCTGTACAAAGCAAAAAGGAAAATATCTTTGGAGATAATAAGCACTGAATAATCTGAGAAAGCTTCTCATATGTGATTTTTGCATTCAAATCATGGCTGTTAAGCTAATATTAAAAACTGCCAACTCCTTCTTCCCACACCCAGCTCATTAATCTCAAGCCATTTTCCTCGCCCTAGCCACCCCTCAGAAGGTTCAGCTTCTGACCATAAGGTTTGTAAAACCCAAGCACTGGTGAACCAGAGAGAAAGTGAGTGCTGTGAAAAAAGAGGAAACAGAAATAGCCTAGAACAAATTTGGAAATAAAATGTTTTAAGAAAGTTTGAGACAAGTCTTTTTTTCCCCGCATCCCTTATTCCAGAGTTGCAAAGTAGTACATTTTTTTTTTTTTTTACAGGAAAAACAAACACCAGCAGGTATTTAATAGGACATGTTTTGAAGCCTGCAGTGAACTTAAGATTTTTTTCTAATAAACACACTCAGACAACATGGGATTGAAAAGAGACATAAATTACATTGTTCAGTTTTGTACAGCCATACTCCTTCATGTACAGATACAAAAATTAAAGCCCCATGATTAGATTGACACTGGCGGTCCGTAAGTTAGTCTACATTTGTTCCAAAAAAATCAAGGCAACCATTTTTAAAAAATTAACATACAGTTAAGATTATTCCAGCTTCCTAATCCAAGCTGAGGCCAATACAAAAATAAGCTAAGACTTCAGACATCAGGAGAACAAAGCAAAACTAGTGTTTCACTCTCCATAGAGGAGAGGAAAAAGTGTCTGAACATCATACATAGCTCCATTCCATTCAGCCCTTCTCTACATTGTTGAAGGGCATACAGATCTTAACTAGATACATACGGAGAAAACATTGCTATTTAAGCTATCCTGCTGATATCCCCAAGCAGATCCAGGGAGAACAAGGTCTTCCTATATCCCTCCTCTAAAGGGCCTCAGCTGTGCTCCTACTACTTTAGACAATTAATACAATTCAGTTTTTATGCATGTTCAGTTTATGAAGTTTGGTTCTTTGTATCCTTTTACAACAGGCTTAACCTTTCTGGTAAGGCTACAGTAGCCTTTGTAAAAAGAATTTCTAAGAAAGAAGAAGCTGCTTCTCCCTGAGTAGTTCAATAAACTTTATAGCCTCCCCTTACCGAGGCTGCCCGTTGTCCTCAGACGATGAGTGGAAGCTCTCCATCTCCTCACTGTTCAGGCCCAGCTCAGAGCCATAGCTCTGGTGCACCAGCTGCCAGAATTCCTGCTTGGTCAGCCTCTGCAAGAAAGCAAAGTAGTCAAGTATTACGGTACAGAACAGTAAGGCACAGAAGGTAAAACAGTAAGAAGTTTGAATTACGCCACAGCCTTTAACCTCAATTCTGACAAGGACTGAAGGCACTTGGGTATCACATTTCAAGATTGCATTTCAGCATTTTTGGGAACTGTACTCCTGTCTACTCCATATTCCCAACCTATCACTGTTTAACCAATATCATCAGACATGAGAAAAACTGTTATTTCAAAAAAACCACACACTTGTAGCCACTACTTTCTTCTTCACCTGTCACCAATGTTTCCACAGATAACTTTGAGGTAGCTCCCTCTTGAATTTCACTCAACAAGGGCAGAAGACCAGTAACTAGTAGACAGCCAGAGACTCCCTCTTCAATCTTGGACAAACTGCTTAATAGAGACATGCCTGTTTCCTCAGGATGCTCAGAGTGCTTTACAAATGGTGAGAGGCTAGCGTTTCAGTCACCACAGCCAGCGGTGTCTAGGTCAGCCACCTGTCCACTTTGCCCAGGTGGGACAGAAATTCCTTGCTTTGGAACAACACCAGAACCCCCTTTACACAAAATAGTTGCTTTTGGTCAGTAACAGTGTAACCTTGACTCATCACTGGCTACTCTTCTCTTTTCTCTAGTATCTCTCTGCCCCGCTCCATGAATTCCCACAGCTACTGGGACATATTTAAGTTCTTTCAGATCATCAGGAAAGTCAGGAAGTGAAAGTAGTATGACAAACTCATATCAGCAAACTAAACAACTAGTTTCAAAGTCCACTTCAGCTGTAAAGGGCTCAAAAAAAAATAAAAAAGGAGAAAGAAAATAAGTTTCTGCGATTTAACAGAGTTCAGAGAGCAATACCAGTGATCTTATAAGTGAGACACCACACTGGAAAATGTGCCTCAGCCACAATCCATATTGATTGAGGGAACCGAACTGTGCTAATGAGGCAGTAACACAAGTACTGCTTACTATTTGCATGAAATGATCACATTAAATACCCATGCATTATTTAAAGAGCTTTTAAATGATCCCCTCCACCTCCTTGCTCCCCATGTAGAGTGTTACACTACCCGCAATTTTAGACAAGACATAAAAGCGCTGACCCAC